CCCGACTCATAGTGACCCTTCCTTGGGTTTCCAAGGCAGTATCACTACGGAAGTAGATTGCCCAACCTTCCTTCCGAGGAGTGGCTGGTGGGTTTGAACCGCCCACCTTCTGATTAGCAGTCAAGTGCCTTAGGCACTGTGCTACCAGAGCTCCTATTTGGAACTATCAAACACTATTAATTCACCCAAAGTCCCTGTGAACTGATTTAGACTTTCATTCTACCAGCATCTTATAGTTGAACCAACTAAAGACACCATAGAATTCCCAGGCAAATAATGATGGCCCCAGTGAGTCAATTCTGACTCATGGAGATCGCATATGTGTCACAGTAGAATTCTATATATAGTTTCCAATGGTTGATTTTTCAGAAGTATAGATCACCAGGTCTCTCTTTTGAGGTGCCCCGGGCAGACTTGAACCTCTAACCTTTTGGTTAGTAGCCAAGCATGTCAATCATTTACACCATTCAGGGACTCCTCAGCCCAGCTGCAGATGTCTATTACCCTCTTACTCCTCCTGATTGCCCTCACTCAGAGATCATAAGTAAAGCAACCTGCTTTAAACCCATCTACCCATCTTTCAACAGCACAGAATCCACCCTGAGACCACAGATACAGCCAACTATAGGTACCCAATTCTTACCCACAAACCCTGACTTGAAACATTTGGTCTCACAAATATTTTCATATTTAAATTTTCTACTTAAAATAAAAAACTAATGTCTGACTGCCAAGAAGAGCTTCCAACTCACAGGAGATAACCCGTGTCACCAAAAAGAGTTAATATAATTTCAACCGAGAAACAAAACCCAGTTTGGAATAGCCAGAGCTATCTTATTCTAGATAAATATTTGATCTCTGCCCCTCCACCCACTTACCGCACCCTCCACACACATAACCCTATTATTCTCTCCTCAGATCCTTGGGGATCCACAGACCCCATGGGCAATACTGAGATAGAGAGAATTTAGCACATTGAAGTCACCATATTACACCGCTTTGAAAGTAGTCTGGAATCTGGCATGGCCACCAAAGACTTGTTGCATTGCCCTCCCAGCAGCTCAATTATCTGTGATCTGAAATTACATCAAATTTCCAAGGACTGGGGAAAACATTTCCCATGAGCAAGAAGTTAATTTATTTGCAGGGGGAAATGAATGGCTCCCTCTGCTTTCCTGACCCTCCCATAGGCACCAGGAAACAACATTAAGTGACCCTGAAGAGAGACCTCAGACAGAGCCTTCACTTATATAAGATGGCTTAAAATCCGCCATGGGTGACAGGGGACATAAATCCTGCAACCCATGGTAATGGTCTGATGATTCTTTAAACTGAGCTACACTACATATTTAAATACTTTCCCTATTAATAAACGACTTTTTTCACATGTCCTGTTTAGAAGAGGGCTGTTAAGACTGTGTATTTGGAAAAATGTATCAAATTTCTCCTTTATACAAGCATAGGTCAGAAAGTCATTTAAAAGGCCTAGATTATGGAGTTCCTTGTTCTAGGATGGACTACAAGAAGCCCCTTCCTTCCTTCTGCCCTTCGTAATTTATTTCATGAAAGCTAGAATTCTTTCCACTTTTTGTTCTAAAGGGGGAGGGGAGCGAGAGCAGGCAGCCAAACTAATTATGTCTTAGTATTGAAAGAAGAAATATTTGAGATTGTTCACAGGGAAAGCAATCATTTAGAAGCCCCAATAAGACAAACTCATTTTCCAGTCAAAGCATAGGAGCTCTGGTGGCATACTGCCTAAGGCATTTGATTGCTAACCAGAAAGCTGGCGGTTCAAACCCACCAGCCACTCCTCAGAAGGAAGGTTGGGCAATTTACTTCCATAGAGATACCGCCTCGGAAACCCAAGGAGGGGTCGTTATCAGTTGGATCTGACTCTACAGCAGTTAGTTTGGTTTTTTCTTAAGTCAAAGCATATTAATTCTACCAACTCCCAACTCAGCAGAAAACAGCAAAGTAATGCAAACCATGAGAGGAAGGAGGAAAAAAAAAAAAAAAAGTGAATGGGAATAATTTTCTCCTGCCCCCTTTTTTAAGACCACCATCAAGCCAATGTAGCCTGGTACTCTCCCAAGCATCCTCCCTCCATCTCTGCCACCCCCTGGCCAGGGACACACCCCTCAGCACTGTTCCAGAGGCACAGGTGACCCAAAGAATATTAGGTGCCTGTAGGCCAATTTCTGACTCTACAGAAAGGAAGGTATTATTCTAATCACCCATGTGTAAGAGCTCCTGCCACCCTTTCTCAAAGTCAACTGAACACTCGCTGAAAGCTTCCTATGTGCCAGGAACTGTGCTAGGCACTTTACATGGATTATCTTGCTTGATCCTGTAAGTCATATGCTATTTGTCTCTTTTGGCAAATTAGGAAGATGAGCGCTGAGTAACTTACCCAGAGTCATTGAGCTACGCTGATCTATGACAGAGCTAGAACTTGAAGCCAAGTGGTCTAGCCACAGGCCCAGCACTCTTACATCATTGTTCTCACCTACCATTTATTTAACACCAGGAAGTGCAAGAGTGTCAGTGAATTCTGCAAACACACACACACACAGACACACACACACAACCAGGCTACCAATACCATCATTTCCTAACAGAGAGAGGTACCCACCCACCATCACTAAGGAAGACTTTCCTTCTCTTGAAAGATTCAGGCTGGACCCCATAGAATGGCTCGATTAAGTACATGAAAAAAAGAAGTTAAAAAAAAGGTCACATGCTCAGGGAGCCAAGATTATAAGGCCACCATTTTATATTGTGAAACAGCCTCCTGATTTCCTGAAATCCACCCAATGAAGAAAAAACACAGCCTGTTCAAATCATTTCTAAATACCTTCTGGTGAGCACAAGGTCCTCAACCTAGGGGAGTTTAATGAGATTTCATGGCCCTTTACAAAAGGAAGGGAATAGAACCACAGAGTAGATTTCTCTCCCAAGGGATAGAAACCTTGGACTTTCTAAAATGTTTTTAAGGGTTGATCCTAAAAGAATGCTTATAATCTCAAATAATTTCATATAATATGCGGCCCTTTTTGCTTACAAAAATGGTCCCCAGTGCAAACAGAAAGTGGTAACTCATTCCATGTGCCAGCTTCAAATGATCCACACATATAAAACGTTCCAAAATGCTTCTTTGAAAAGAAGACTGTCAGGCAATATGCAGACATGACACGGGCTTGTTTTATATGAATGTCTAGAGCCACAGTTATATGCATCAAAAATGAAACTAAAAGGGAAGAAACTGACCATACAGAGACAAAACAATACCCTTTTTATTTTTAAAACTCTGGTGAAATAGGTTTTCATATGACATCCCATTAAAAAAAAAAAATTCATGTAAACCAACCTGCCTGTGGGTTAGTCACACTATACAGACTTCATCATAGTGTTTAAAGATGCCTAGGTATCTCATAGAGTATTTACAAATGTTGTTAGGTAGTAAAGTTTTGTTGCAATTTTTCCAGCACATACTCCACAGTAAAATAAAGGGGGAATATTGGTGTTCTTGTATAAAAATTCTTCACAAATGGAGAAAGGCAATTTTCCTGAGAGAAGATTTGTTCTTGGAATAGTTTTCTTTAACAACTGGAAATACAGAAATGGGATGCAGTTGTAAAAGAAGCGTAAGAATGTCTAAGTTAACATTTTTCTTTTAAATTATTTAAGTACCATTAAGTTAAAATGTTTACATTCATTATAAAAAATGTTGTTAAATCTTATGCAAATGATTTAACACTGGATTGCTGCAACGCAAATTGCACTTTTTTAAAAAAATGATTGTATACATGGAAGAAAAATATCTTGTTTGCTACCCTGTTTACAAATTCCGACCAACTTCAGATCAGCCACACAATATGAACTTTAAGAAACTTCAGTCACAGTGTATGTTAACATTACAATGCAGTCTTGCCAACTAAGTAATATTTTTGACAAGATACCTCATGAACTAACCCAGCCTTCAGAGATGTGTACAAATGGCCTCAAATGATCTTCTCTATGAACACATGTAAAATTTGGATGTGGACAAGGTATGAAGAAATTCACGCATAACCAAAATCAACCAGAAGCACATGATTTGGGACATACACGTAAAATCCTTTCTAAAAATCTTTTTCAATATCCCTTAGCAGGAAAAGCCCCAGTCCCAGTCCCGGTTTCCAGACATGGCAGAGTGGACATCAAATCCCTGTGTGAGCCCAGAGGCAGGCTGGCTGGAAGTGCAGCACCAGGGTCCTGGCAAGGGCAAGAGGACGGTGTGCTCTTGGGCTGCGCTGGCTTATTCCCGGAAGAGCTCCATCTTCTCTGGTGAAGAACAGATGGTAAGGCGGAGCAAGCCTCTTTGGAAATACATCTCTTTTAAAATAAAGGCACAGAAATAACACATCAGAGGAATGTTCTGTCAGCGTACTTGCGACTGTTTGGACTGCTTGATAAAATAATACAAAAGTCGTCTGAGAACCGTGGTGGACTCTCTCAACTTCCTTTCACCACGGGCTCATGCCAGAGCCAGAGCACACCAAGAATCCTGTCTCACAGAGGACGTCACTTCCGCCGGGGATGCCAGACTGACTCCTATGTACAACCCGTCCTGAGCTGAGTACTTGAGTTCGCTGTTCTCGGGATTCGTGCTCTCTCCTGGGCCAGACATCACTGAGGAGGCACCTGCCTGGCAGGACAAGGTGGGGAGAGAAGAAGCAAAGACGGGGAAAGACAGTTATCGACAAATTTGTGATCCAGCACAATCCTGCTAGTTAAATAAAACAAATAACCCAAACTCACTGCCATCAAGTCGACTCCAACTCATAGTGACCTGCAGGGCAGTAAATCTTTAGGGAAGTAGGTTGCCCAGTTTCCTTCTGCGGAGTGGCTGGTGGGTTTAACCAGCCAACCTTCTGGTTAGCAGTCAAATGCCTTAGGCACTACACCACCAGAGCTCCTTGCTAGTTAAATACATGGGCACAAATGAGATTGTAAGTCCAGCTGGGGCAAGAACCACACCTAAGAAGCACTTGAGTCACTGAGCAAAAAAAGCAGGAAAGTCAGCATCTCTAGGCACTGCCCCAGGAAGCAAGGGAGTCTTGCTGTGTTGTATGGTGCCACTGGTCTAATACAGGTGATTTAAACTCTTAGTTAACTTCAGAACTCATAGCAGTAGCCACCTGGCAAGAGGAACTATGGGGCAAGAGGTGGGAAGGGGACCCGGAATAATTTTATTTGTGAAAAATGCCAGCAGCAAACTACACTGGGTAGGTAGAGACCTTAGTGATGCACACGCAATCTAATCATTTCCAAAGAGAAATTGCAGAGTGCTACATGCACACACATGCATATGTGAACACATACACATATACTTGCACACAAACACACTTGCACATTTACTACCATACATGCACAAATACAAATGCATGCACACACACAGCGTGGCCAGAAGGCTTAGCAATCATGTCAAAGTCTAAAGAATTGCCTGATAAATGAAATTTTAGAGCATTAACTTCATGGAAAATTAACCCATGCATACACAGGTTTTAATATCTACCTCATTTATCTTGATTCTTTCCAAAAGCTGGCCATGTTTGAGCCAGACCACAGTATGAAGAAAATTTTAAACATCCTATATTTCTCATGATCATGGCAAGTAAATGTTCATCTTTTGTCTGTTTAATTCATTCCTTCCATCCGAATAAGAAAAGGCCAAATGGAAAACATTATATAATTTGGTCAAGTCAAACCAAAATAACTAAAATCATGTTTAGACTACAATTTGAGAAATAAGCTGTATTTGAAAGACTTTTTAAGAGTCTAGCGCTAGTCACATATTTTTTAATCATGTCTTTTCCTTTCAAAAAGCTCAGAAGTTATTTCTTCCAAGCGCTCAGGTTCTAGTTCATAAATTCCAAGCTATGTGTTATTTAAGATAGGTGGGATATTTTGGACTTTTCAAAAATATTTCTTTTTAACACATATGATCCTATTAGGTCCTTAAAACATCCATTTGGTCGGGTTAATGTTACATGTTAATGGTACAGAGAGATACATGGCACCAGACACCAGCTGCATGGAATAATAGATGGTGCTTCCCTCCAACGATACGTGGAGCCAGGAGTCAGAAGTCAGTGTGGTCCATCCCCTTTTTCCCTGAACAAGATCTGACTTTCTCCCCTATCCTCACAATAATTTCATGAAGCTCAGAGGCAGGGCATCAGTTGAGTAACCCCACCAGGTCCTGTCACATGACATTTTGTCTGAAGATCCAAATGTCCCCAACTAGACAGACCAAATCCAGCCCTTCCACAGGTAACCTACCCTTCTCTTTCCTAGCTAAAATGTGGGTTTATGAACACCCAGAAACAGTACACCCCCATACTCTAGTCTTTTTTAATAAGACAAACATGAAAGACTTACACTAAAGGCTTTGGGTGCATAAAAATGCAAATTTCAAAGTAAAAAATGTTGAACAAATTGAATAGATTCTTGTGAAAATTCTCAAAGAGTTCAAGTAATCCTGTCAAGCAAACAGAATACTATGGACGTAAAAAGACTTAGCTACATTTATAAGTGCAGTGATTAACTTTAGCCCTTAATTTCAGAACCTAGATTGCGAGTAAATCCAACATGGATACAGATTTAACACCCAAAAAACAAGAGTGACATTCAATTACAATTCCTCATTTTAGAAAGGAACTACCAAGATAAGTAGAAAATGTGAGCTCCCTTATGATTTATGTCACACCCAACTTTTACTGAGGTAGCTATTCTATAACTGAAGGACTATCTGTATTTATCACTGCCCTCCACTAAATCTGCCTTCACCATGTTGTTGTTGTTGTTATTATGTGCCGTCGAGTTGGATCTGACTCATAGCAACCTCTCCTTGAGTTTCTGAGGCAGTGTCACTATAGAAGTAGATTGCACCTTCCTTCCGAGGAATGGCTGGTGGGTTTGAACCGCCAGCCTTCTGGTTAGCACTCAAATTCTGAAGTGACGAAGATGCCTGGATGGGCCAGGACGCTGCATTCCCCAAATGGCCAGGAGTACTGAGATAGCAGAGGTGTCTCCATCAGCATCAAGAAACAACATCCAAGCATCTACTATAAGACAGGCTCTGGAACTATGAGCAGGGCAGGTTCAGAAGTAGGAACCCCTTCAGAGTTAAGTGAAAACAACCTCCTAGATCATCCAATTCTAACTTTGACAGACAGCTTTCCACAAAAAGTACGGTGCTTCACACGCATTCAAAAGGATCACTGGCCCTTTTTCAAATGAGCTGCATTAAAGAAATCCTAACACCTTCTATATTATTCTTACACCTGGGCAATAATCTCAACAAACCACAGAAATAATCACTGTCTTCTTTTTTCAAACAAAACTGTTAACATATATGGCAGGGCAAGATTCCTACCCTCGAAGGGCAGACTAACCCTAAATTACATGGGTGATGCCCCCTTGACACTTATCTACTCATCTGAAATCAAAAGCAACTTCCTTGAGTCTGTCAGCAAACGTGAGAGGAGTACTTGTGCCCAAGACTTGACCTTGTTTTTAAATTTTCAAATTCTGAATTTTTAAATATGTTTTACTTCTGAAAATGTCTCATAAGGAAATAATTCTAAGGAAGGGGAAAGGAAGGCTCCACAAAGACATCCATTGCAGAGTCACGTGTAACAATGGAAACTGTGGCCGCAGGGATGGAGTCCCAGTAAGCAAAGTAAGCGCAGGCTTGCATGCTTACTTACCAATCTGCAGTGAACAGTTTCACACATTTTTTTCTGTTCCCCACATCTTACTTGTGCTTACCTCACTTACTGGTTACTCTATACCTGTCAGGAATTGTAAATTTTAAAAGAAGCTTTGATTCTGTACAAAGGTGCTATGGGGAGACAGGCACCAGCCATAAATACCTAGAAGGAAAATCTTGGATGTGGTTAAAAAAAAAAAAAAAAAAGGTGAATTTGTTCACTACAGATTAGTAAGTAAGCACAAGTAAGCCTGTGCTTACCTTGCTTATTGGGTAATCTGAGAGTGCATGATGTATCTAATAATCTCAGAATGGTTTGGAAAAGCAGAAGTAACCTGCTCAATAACTTATTATGCAATTATAAAAATACTAAACACCATGCTGCAAGAGGGAGCTCCAGTAGTGTAGTGCCTAAGGCATTTGACTACTAACCAGAAGGCCAGCAGTTCAAACCCACCAGCCACTCCTCTGAAGGAAAGCTAGGCAATCTACTTCCCTAGTGATACTGCCTCAGAAACCCAAGGAGGGGTGGCTAAGTGTCAAATCTGACTCCTCAGCAGTGTGTTTGGTTTGGTTTTGGTATGTAGCAAGAGGAAAAAAATCTTATAATACAATAAACAAACTCGCTGCCAATCAAGTTGATTCCGACTCACAGCAACTCTATAGAATTTCCAAGGCTATAAATCTTTACAAAGCAGACTGTCTTGTCTTTCTCCCAGAGTGGATGGTGGGCCTGAACCACTGACCTTTTGATTAGCAACTAAATGCCTTAGCCACTGTACTACCAGAGTTCCTTACAATACAAAAGTGGCACAATGTATAAGAGCATAAGACATTTGGCTGCTAACCAGAAGGTCGGTGGTTCAAATTCACCAGCCACTCTGTGGAAGGAAGATGGGGCAATCTACTTCTGAAAAGATTTACAGTCTTGGAAACCCAATAGGGGTCACTGTGAGTTGGAATCAACTCAATGGTAGTGGGTTTGGTTTTTGGTTTTTAGGTGAAAAACAGCAGGATATGAATTGCAACTCCATCATAATTCCAAGTTATCTGAGTACACTAAGGCATAATGCCTAAGGCATTTGACTGTTAACCAGAAGGCTGGTGGTTCAAACCCACCAGCCACTCCTCAGAAAGAAAACTGGGCAATCAACTGCCATAGAGATACTGCCTTGAAAACCCAAGGAGGGGTTGCTACAAGTCAGAACTGGCTCGACAGCAATGAGTTTGGTTTTTTGACTTAAATTTGGTCGTGTTTTCCCATAACATTATTTCACATTTTGTGACAATTTTTATACCCATACAGATGCAGCCAGCGGTGAGGGGAGACTCAATAAAACAAACTAAAAGCACTATAACCTGCAAAGAAAGATTGTGTTCTGAGATGAAGTCTCTTAATTTGAAGTCATGTGTAAAGCAAATAAATGGTGTACTGGGTAAGGCATTTGGCTGCTAACAAGAAGATCAGCAGTGCAAACCCACCAGCTGCTCCGTGGGAAGAAGATGAGTTGATCTACTTCATAAATATTTACAGCCTTGGAAATCCAATGGGGGTTGCAATGAGTTGGAATCGACTCAATGGCAACAGGGTTTGGTTTGACTATTTTACTTGAATGGCACAGCACACTCTAACTTTGGGGAAGAGTAGAACACATGGGGTTGCCACAAGTCGGGGCCAAATAGTAACAACCATAGATGACACTAGTACCAGAGAGACACAAGCACTTGAGAGGAGCCAGTCTGCTCAGGGTCAACAAGCAGCATGGAAAAATAGAGAGGAATTGGAATGGGGACTCTAAAAGATAGAAGTGAGTTCAGAAGAGCCACCTGTGTACCACTATAATGATCTCCATGTCACCTGGCATAGCTGCTGGAGTCTGGTCAGCCATGCACATGAGACACACATAGTTCCACATAAGTTAAAGCAAAGA